CTGAGGATCTGCCTTGCAGACTTTACTATCCTTTAGTGTCACTTTCTCCCTTTTCTTTTTTCTCTCTTATGCTCTGCCTATTTCCTTCTATCTTCCCAATGAAAATGTCAAATACAGAATCCAGCACAAGCGTTGGACCACTCCACCGACATACAGTCAGTGATCGTACAGCAACCTCTGTCGCTTTCTGCTTCAAAGTATGAGCTGATCATAAATTCAGGAAGAAAAAGTAGCACTAACTGCAGACTTTTTTTCTACCCTAATAGAAGCAAAGCTGCTTAAAAAAAAAAAAAAAAGAAAGAAAAGAAAATAAAAAAAAGAAAAAAGAGCTTTAGATAGGGTGTAATATGTTCTCAATATGGTCTGATGTGCAAATATTCTCATGCCCTTCAGATAATATGTGGGTTAATTTATTAACTATGTGATTAACCGCCATAACACAACACAGGGACTTGAAATCTTCATGGGTCTTCATTTTGTTAGCTTACGTTATTCTCTCCACATGCTGTCTTTCTTTGATTAAGGTCAGTCCACCGGTATAAACACCTGTGCAAGAACTGTAGTTGTTTGCAGGTTTCAATGTAATTTCAACTTTAAGTGTGAAAGCATAAAAAAAAAATCCTAATTGCATCTGTCAATAAAAGTGCTGAAGGTACTGTTCACATCATTTGCAGCTTCTGTCGCAGGGAAGCACATCTGACTCAGTATATAACACAGAACTTGCTATTTCAAGGCAGTCACCGTTTTAGTGGCCAGACATCTACTCAACCTTGACTTGATAGTCTAAAATAAATATCCTTGAGCAATTGTATGAAAACACCTATGCAGAGAGCAAGTAAAAACCCCACTGTTTATAGTTTGCAGATGCTTGGGAGAAAACACTCTATATAACATACCTCTAAACTGCTCTGACAGTGGCTAAACTGGCTACTGAAGCCAGAGGATGGGTTTTAAAACACAAAACATCACATAATCAAGCCCAGGCATTATTTATTTTACCTGAAGTTTCCTCTTAGATAGCACTTTGACAGATGGGTGCCAAATGATGGACTGTCTCTGTCATCAATTATTTCAGTTGCCACAGTTGCTCCTTTCTAAAACTGGCACCACTCTCCTGCTGAAGCCTCTGGCATGCTAATACAATAAACAAATCCTTTTAATTAGCTGAGTCACATATCCAAGTTTGCAAGCTTTCCTTGAGGAGCTTTCATTCTCAAGAGATGTTTCTTATAACGTCTCCACGGTGTAGAAACTGTCAGGCAGAAGGAACCAACTGGTCAACATCTACATGCTGCTGTCAGCTGCTGCACTTGTATGCCAGCTAAGGAGGGCTAAATCAAGGGAGTAAAGTTTAGGAGCGGGAGAAAATCAGGAAAGTAACTGAGTTGGAGGCAGTTTCTCTTTATAACAAATGCAACGTGACCAAATTTTATTTCCTGATACATTTTTATCGCAGCATTAGTTACAAGACACAGGTAAAACGCTGATATTAACATTTCTCTCACATAACTCTGCAGGACTGCAAGCAGAATCGGACCAAGCAGCCTTCTCCACCTCCTTTCTTAAGCTGCCTTGTACCGTTGCTTTACTATGTCAAATCAGAGATATAGTCTATTGCCCAAACGGTTGCACTTGGCTGCTGGCATAGAGCTCTCTATATTCCTTGGGATATCATATGAGAGATTTCAAGCATTGCTGAGATGAGGAACCCAAAAGCAAGGAAGGGTAATATAAGAAAATGAGTAAGCTTTTCATGGCATTTCAAGTTGTATTCCCAGTTGATATTCATACATATCTGCTCAATGTAATTTTCTAAATCTTAAGAAGGATCCCTTCTATTCTGAGAACAAGTTATTCTTGTTTGCATTACTGTCTTAAAGCAAGATCTCTAATGACTAAATGAAATCTTAGTGAATATTAAGGATGGATACAAAGCTCAATATTGGATTTTAAAACTGTTTTAAATCTTCAAGGAGTAAACTGCTTCCGGTGATTCCTGACATGCTCCCCCTCTCTCACTCTATTAAGAGTTAATACTTTGACACAGATGAAGTTATGTTTCTCATCTGAACTTTCAGCCTCTGGTTTCTCATGGATTAGCTCCAGAGTCGTAAATCAGAGCCATCTACATTTCTTATAGGCATTTCAGTATCTATTAAAAAATGCCAAAAATTCTTCTATCCAACTATTCTTCCAGGCAAAGATTATAAAGGAAAAGAGCTAATAACCACAGTCTCCCCTGCAAACACTTGAGCATGCCAACTACAGCGTGCTTGAAAATCTGCAAAAAGCAATGTACAAACCAAGCTGTAACTATCCTCTCATGAGATTTTGGCCTGCAAGTGAAAAAACAGATGTGGCAGCAAGAAGAGTAATGAAAACCTGTGGTTTCTGATCCCTGCTCTGTTTCCACATGGTAAGCACAAACCAAAATCCCTCACCATAAGAGGCTGCCAGCCCTACCCTTTGCAACACCCTTGCTAAAGCAGATGCTAATCCAACCAAGAGCAAAACCCTGGCTCTTATACCATGCCACAGAGCCCATGTTTGCTGTGGAGGGTAAGCTCTCACTGTCAGGAAACCAACCACAAAGAAACCCATCACAGTAGCATGTGTCAGTGGCCAACCCTCAAAAACTAAAAACAAAAAAACGAAAAATCAGCCATGACAAAGAACAGAGGTAATGGTTGTTGAGGGCAATAATTTTACTTTTATCCCGAGGTTTTTTTTTTACCAAGTAACAGAGCTGGCTGCCACATGCCAGTGTCCCAACTTAAGAAACAGCTGTAGTGGAACAGAAACACACAGCAACAGAAGTGCTTGAGACTTATCAGGTTCCCATTCTCTCTCCAAAGCTTTCACTGATATGTTTTTCAACATCGAAAAGGAGTTAGGAAGGGACTCTAGGATAGCTTAGGAAAGCTATCAAGACCACATAGGAGAAGGTGAAGAGCTCTAAGTGTACTGAAGAAATCCCCATGCTCTACATCAAATGAAAATAGACTGCATCCAGCACTCCCAGAATGAGCTCTTAAGTGAAAAAAGTACCTTGCAGGAGCTGTACTTAGAAAGAAGTCTCTGCTTGTGTCATTAGACACTGTGGCCATCTACACTGATTTTAAAGTCCTTCAACTCATTGAGACTTTTTGAAGAAACATAAAGCAAGGTTTTTCTGTTACCATGAGTGCATTTGCAACAGCACCTGAAGCAGTAAAATCTATTTTATTCACCTGAATCACCCCAGTGGGCACTCAGCAGAGAAATGCATAGGAAGGCACCTTTCTAGAGTCCCCCTTTGACCCTGAAGGAAAATCTAAGGTTTATCTGTCTCTTAATAGCTCTTTAGCTAATATATCTGGCTTTAGTAACACTAACATTTAGTATATTCAAAACAACTCTACACAGTTTCAATAGAAATTTTTTTTAATAGAAAAATTGATTGAATGGGATATGAATTACCTCATAACAAACAAAAAGTTGGCGTGAGAACAGAATCAAGTTAAGAGATTATAATTCCAAAATTTGCACAGCGCTGCCAGAAGAAAGGTTTCATTCATTGTTTTCAGTCACACTAACGTAGTCTGCATGTTTCAGAGAATACACGCTCGTGTTGAGGAACTGGCAAATTAGCATCCTCAACAAACCTTTGAGAAGTTAACAAGGATCTGCTGTGAATAAATCTAATTTTACCAACAGGTGCTTTTTGGCAACATAAAACTCTACTCCTTTGGAGAAATAATTTAAAAATGCTTTTGCTTAATACCTAGAAGGCAGACCTTAACTGTTTAATCTAAAGAAACAATCAAAGCAAAATGAAATGAAATTAGCAGTACATGCCTGGAGCATGGTTCAGTCAGGATTTAGATGACCTAAAACACAGATGGATTATTTTTCCTTCTAGTTGTGAGAATGATTTAAACTTTTACTGATCTTCTGTGGTTAATTTGGACATTTTTCTCAAGTTTTCACCACAGTCTACTTACTCCTCAAGCATAACAACTCCTCCTGATGAATGAAACAAAACTTCTGCCCTAGGAAAACTGTGTGGTAGTAACCGTGGATATATTGTGGTGTGTTAAATCGGGGTAGGGGTATATTTTTCCAACTAGTGACATATTATTCTTTGTTATATCCTCCCTCCAAACTTGCCACTCCACTTATGAACCAAAGAGTTTATCCAGGAGTACTCCTTTTGGTTTTGCTTTAGGTCATAACGATATCAGACAGCTGTGGGTGTAGGCAAGGGGTGATATAATTTGCTTTAAAAAAATAAAAATGAAAACAAGTGCTTGAACAGTTACATACTTGCCATTGCATAAGCTCTTTTGCTTGCCTGTGCTATTGTGTCATACAGTGTTGTTCGTGTTACTTTATGGAAGAGAAACTTTAAGATAGATAAAACCCTTCCTCGAGTAATGTGGTACGGTATCTTTACATTGTTCACTCTCTTCAGTTGCAGTCATGCTGCTCCTCTGATAGAGGAGGATCACTCTCTGAATGTTTATCAGAGTCCTTTCTGTAATGCCTTTGTGATTTCAAAAAGAAAACATTAAGTTGCTTCTTGGCAAACAAACACAAAGCTTTGGAAAGCTCCCACAGTACAAACACAAATGCTCATCATCAAGTTGTTTGGGGCAGACAAGTTGCGCTACACGTTTTAACAACGCTAAAGAAAGTTGTAAAGAAAGCTTAGACTTTATGCTTCAAATTACTGTCACAGCACCAAAGAAGCTTGTTTAAAATTTAGTCTGCACTTTGCATTACAACATACCATATCTTTTCTTAACAGAGATCTTAAAATGAACATGACCAGAGTAACAGAGAGGAGCTTCAAGATGTAATTAAGCAAGCATCAGAGGAAGGGCTGTGCTTTCCAAACAGCTGGTGTAAGTCTCCCAAGTGACACCCTACAAACCCGACCCTTGGCTTGCCAAGCTGCAGTCTGTTTTGAGAGTCAGCAGCAAGGCTGCTGCTTGCAACTGTTCCCTCTCCCTACTTACAGTTCGGTGATGTTGGCGGGGATGTCCCGGGGAACCTGGACCACCTTGCTCTCCTGACAAATGAAGACCCTGCCCACACAGCAGCAGGCGTGGTGCTGGGATCCTGAGCAGCCTGCCAGGAAAACCAGCAAACAGGCAAGGACTGGAGACATCTCTGCCTTCACATCTGTGCCTGTCTCTGTCATCTCAAAGGGAGGAATGCAGAGACCTCCCAGCCCAACTCCCGGAATGGAAGATCCGCCCCAAAAGCTGGGATGAACCACGTGGCTCTTGGGGGATGACTTCTCAGCAAATTTCAGTTCATGGCCCCAGATCCTTTATAGCCTTAGAACAGGGATGGAAATCAGCAATGCTGATTTTTCATGACAAAATTATTTTATATTTAAAGTGGTGTTGAAATCATGGACTCCATCTGAATGAACCAAGGAGCTTTTGATGCACTGGATATCTGCGCTGGGAAAAGATCCTTCCTTCTCAGCTATGCTATTTTGCATGTCTTGTTTGGTAACACCAAGGGACAGGAAAGCATTTTTACTTTCTACAGCCCAGCCACTTTTTCCCCTGAAGGGGAGAGGCACTACTTTTGCTCCTCATCATAGATCGAAGGGCCTCTGATTTTGTGTTGCTCCTAAGCAAAAGAAATGTGTTATTTTTTTACAGGGTATATAACGTATTCGATAGATTGAAAACTATACAGTCCTAAGGCCAGAGCTAAATAACACGCCCTTACTTTTCAACTGTGATTATTCTTCATGCACTTGCTGATTCATCTACTCTTTTCCTTGGCACCTTTCTAGGAACCCAAACAGGAGAAAATGCCACAACTCCAGCAGTCCCTGTGGACTAGTGAACTAATTTCATCATCTGGAAAAAACCCTCCGAAATATACAGAATGACTATTTGTGACACAACAGGAGGAAAACAGCTTCAAGAATATCATCATAAGGCCTGGATGCTGAATCCCATCTTTGAGTCCTTATTTATTTTGTTTACTTTTTGACTGAGGTAAAGTATTTTTCTTGTTACAAGTATTAATACTTGAGGAAGGGACCTTGCAAACTCTTTACTGTCACTGAGTTGTGCTGCACCAGGTTATCATCTGGAACCAGGGTTTATCTACAAAGGTGGGGATTTTGCTGTTTTCTGGGGGGAGACAGTTTTTTTTTTTTTTTGGTGGATTCTGGTTTTGTTTGTTTTTCTTTTAGACTGCAAATAGCTGTTTCAGACACATGGAACTTTTAAATCATGTGCATGTTAAGTGAGTGCTGGAGCTGAATTACCATGGGTAATTCTGCTGAATTTGACTCATGTTCAATCCTTCACGTTGCTTGGAAGGATTTTAATCTTCTTAAAAGCACTTGTTAGATTGTTTTTCTATATTTTTTTTTCTTCTCCCATAATCAAAAAACATAAGGAAATGTAATGACACAGAAGACGACATCTTTTCCCTGAAGTGTGCTGGCTGAAATATTCCACCATATTCACCGTTAAAATAAGCCTCAAAATGTAGATGTTTCTGAAATGGGCTAATTATGAATTTTAAAACTAATTCAACTAATTCTTTAAGTTACCCTAATTTTTCCAAATATCACCTTACACTTGTTATTTTTCCCCCTACTCATTTAAGCTTACTCAAGAGGAGAACAGTGATATTTACACAAAAAAGGTGAAAAAAAAAAAATCACAACCATCTCTTCCTAACAATGTTAGGCTTGTAATGAATTGTAAGAGTATTCATTTAGCTGTATGTGTAAAACAGAGCCCATTTTGCTAAAGTGTCTGAATCAGTTTCAAGATAATGACAGTGACTGGCAGAAAAAAATTATTCTAAGACATTAGTGACTTTTTCCTCATGTATGTGTCTCTGTGTCTGTATCTCTGTCTCCTTTCCTTTGAAAGATCGTAGACCTACAATATCTTTTGAAATGAGTACTGTCTTCAGTTTCCTTCATACTCAATGGGATGAAAACTGCAGAAGTCCATCCTACGGTCAAACAAATTCCCATTTAGTAAAAAATTGCTGTAGCCCACTGCAAGTTGGACTAACTAGACATGTCAGGATTTAAACAAATGCCAGGAAAACAAGTCATTTGAGACTTGTTTTGTATTTTCAATAACAAGTCTCTAGTTTCTACAGCTGTAGACTGAAAGTAGGCTGAAAAAAAAAAAAAAACCAAAAACAAAAACAAAAGATGAAGCTTGAGGAGTATATAGGGCACAAGAACATTTGGTCACAAATCAATATAAGCCATATCTCTTCATCTTGAAATACATCAATATAAATGGTCATGTTATACTGATGAAATGGATAGTAATATTTATGACATAGCTTAAAATGTGATAACAGTCTCTGAATGTCAAAATAATTTGTACTGATATGAAGACATTGCAATTTGATTAACTTTGGGTTTCTATATATCAAACTACAAAATTTGTTTCAGATGATAGCAATAATTCTTCTACATGCAAAAGTCAGGAGATTAAAAAATATCACTAGGACTTACAAAAGATCTTTCTAATTATTAGTGACTTTCAAAACTATACCAATTAATACAACATATACATTTTAAAGCATCAGGTCAGACCCAGCAGCAAATCATGAGCAAAATGAAGAAAAATTTAGGAGAGTTTGGCTTCTTCCCATTTTTGTTTGATGAGGCCATTTTATCAGTACAGTACGCATTTTAATTTTTATTTACAACAGTTAAGAGTGAGATTATAATTTTTAAATAATAATTAAAAAAATAACCCCCCACGTTTATCTTGAAATACCATGCAGTTAAGACTTTGAGGGAAATATCCAGTTATCATTAAAGTCAATAAAATCAGACTAGTATGCAAAATGGAATTGATCTTTCATTCATAGTAGAGCAAGCACTAATTCAGGAACAAAGTAAAACTATCCGAAGATAAATGAAGATTCAGAGGATTTCCGAGCTGTTTTATACATACAGTCCAAGGTCTCGAAGAATAGACTCTGGTGTCTATTAATTTTTTGAACTGCCAATCTCCTGATTTTTGTTCATGATTGTCAAATGATACACAGCCACATCATTGCAGTGTCCTGGATGGATTAATTAGCTGATCATCCTCCCTCTACCAGTTCAGGAGCACAGTTGTCTCCTCTCAAGAAGAAAATGCATGTAAAGGAGGGGAAAAAAATGCCGAGATACCTCCTGGTCTCTTGGAGGTTGCACTCACAAGTCCTTCTTGAGCACCAGGTTGGAAGTACAACCATGCCTGAAAGCCCAGAGAAACTGTTGCAGGGTGATAGTGAGAGCTAGTTAAAACTAGTTGTAAATATGCCCCACATCTTTGTGTCATCCCAGGATTTCATACTTTTTCCTCAGTAGCTTGTTCAAAGCAACGCAGTGGGCAAACTCATGCCTCCACAGACCTGCCCCAGCTATGCACTCTGCTACCTTCAGAGCATCATGTGCTAGGAGCAAGGACCTATCTCCTGGAGGTACCCGAATGTGATGCACTGTCATTGAGATACATACTGTTGAAAGTATAAATGCAGAGATGATGGTGCTTTCAGATATTTATGAGAGCCTTATCTTTGCATCCATTTGCAGAAGAACTATGCTCCAGCTAGCAAATAGGCCTTAAGAGTGTAAACTGTTTTCCTGAGTAAGGAAACAGAAATTTCCCCAAATTGAAGCACTGTAGCAACAGACATGCAATTAAGTGAATTATGACAGCAGCTCAATGATGATATTACAGATTATGAAATTAGATGGCTTCTGGGCTAAACAGTTAATTCCAGGTTATATGGTCACCAGGGAATCTTTTTTTAAGACAGTAGTAAAGGTGTTTGATTGGTAGAACTGGCCTCTAACACCAGAACTTGCCTCTAAAATTAACATTGGTCTAATTCTGCAAGCACTGAGCCAGAGGAATGGAGGGATTTTGTAGATCCCATCCTCTGATGAAGCAGCAGTGCCTGTCCTGGGCCCTGTCCTTGCCTGGATTGATGACGATACAGCAGGAAGTAAAATGAACCGTACCAGCTCTCTCCCTGTCACCCTCATTAAACTTGTCCCAAATATACTGAAATGACTCTAAGTCCTTCCACCACGGTGCAGAAATGGTTGAGACAGCATCTAAATCCAGCTGCCGGAGCTGTGGGAACAGCTCCTTTCTGTAAGGCAGGAAGTTTGCCAGGTGTTGGAGTGTATCAACCTACAGGCAAGCAAGTTCACAGCAGTTTCTGCTTGCATTTCTCTCTTTTGAAACACAAGATGACAGCTAATTAAGTAAATACTCTTTCTGGTGATGTTTCCCAGGCTCAGAATAGTGTTTAATTACCGAATGCCACTGTAACACTGGCTTTACTTAACCATGAGTGTTCCATAAAAATGTGTAGGCAAATAAATCGCCTGTATGAACAGATGATACACAAACCACATCCCAAAGAAGTTTATCCTTCAAAGAATGAAGATTTCTCACTCTTTTGATGTTTTCCAACACATAGATTCTCCCTATGGGTTTACAGGCAGCCATAGCATCTTTTTTCCTGACTACCATGCTATGATCAGGAAAAGCTGTTTTCTATCCATAAAAGCTTACAGTGCGAGATGTAACAGACACCTAAGAGGAAATTAATAAGAAGGAGTTTGACACATCATTGATTTACCTCTTGTGAATGACCAACTTGGGTTTTAAAACAGCAGATCACTGAGTCCAAGAGACCATTTACCTGATAAAAATACAACATTTTAGGCTTCTTTCCAGAAATAGTATTTCTGAACAGATTTTTTTTTTTTTTTTTTTAGCTTCATCTATTACCGTGAATGGGGATTATTTTAAAATACATTTGAAAGGCCAGACTTTATCTGTGCCCTCAGCATTGAGAACATAAAGCGTGAAACTAGCCTAATAAGAGCAGTAGCTTACGGCTCTCTCAGTTCGTTTATTCAGCTGCTTGGGTGCAACCTTAACTAAAAAAAAAAAAAAAAAAAAAAAAAAAAAAAAAAAGAGTGAAATGAATATATAGTAAATTAGCCACCAGAGGGAGTGCATTCACTCGAGAAGAGAAAACAGACTAGTGTAAGAAAATTATTAGAAATTGTATGGAATTATGCTCACACAGATTTCCTGTGACTGTCTGGCTTTTGACTTCAAAAGTTGACTGTGATTAGTCCCCTTATTAAATAGCACCTCTGCAGACGGCAAAGCAGCA